TGGGCACGCCCAGGGCTGCTGCAGGGCACGCTCTGGGCTACTGCTGGGCACGCTCTGGGCTACTGCTGGGCAAGCCCTGGGATACTGCTGGGCGCCCCCTGGGCTACTGCTGGGCACGCTCTGTGCTACTCCTGGGCACGCTCTGGGCTAATGCTGGGCAAGTCCTGGGCTACTGCTGGGCAAGTCCTGGGCTACTGCTGGGCACGTCCAGGGCTGCTGCTGGGCACGTCCTGGGCTACTGCTGGGCACGTCCTGGGCTTCTGCTGGGCACGTCCTGGGCTTCTGCTGGGCACGTCCTAGGATATACCGAGACGCACACAGACGCCATCATTCTCTGGTGAAGACAGACAGACAGACAGACAGACAGACAAATTCATACGGCTCGGAATTTTACAAAGTGTGGGACACAGCTCCTTGTCACAACAATGACATAGCAAAATAACAATTTACAATTAACACATTTACATTATCAAATATATACACAATTATTTGAGTAATTCCTTATATACATTATGTTGGTGTGAACTACAGTACAGCGGCTCGTTATTTACCTAAACAAACATATCTATTACAAACTTCACAGCCAAGTTAAGAATTGTTCATATTTTAATCTGTTGCATTATTTTAACCATTTTCAAACGACTTGGATGATTTCTATAAAATATTGGTATATCTCTTGAATATTACACTCCAGAATAACATGATAATCAATAATATTATAACCACAATTACTGTACTCTCTTCTCTTGCAATGGGTAGTCTTGTATTGTTAGCTCTAAATTTACACAAGATAGATCTGAAATTTTTTGGTCACCTTAGTAAATATTCTTCTAACTTGAAAATATTGTTATAAGAGACAGCGGCTACATAATGATGCACTAATCTTTTAATTTTCCTTCAACAGCATTTTTGAACCATATTAGACTATGTTTTTTTTTTTTATCATCCGTATACCTGACATCCCACAATTATTTTTTACAGGTCTAATTTGGTTCAGCCACTCAGAAATTTATCTACCCTCCTCTTTTGACTTCCAAGGCACTGATACATTGTTCTGTTTCCCCTTTATTAACCATCTGCCTAATTCTCCCTTTACTAAAGCATTACAAGTATTTTATTAACATTAAGGACATGTTTTAAGATTTTTAAACGAAGAGTTTCTGATTCCTTATAAATATTACATCCCCGCACCTCACACTCGTATGTCATAATTGATAATGCCATTGCACCTAAAGTTGAAGCTACAAGTCAATGGACAGATCAAATTTCCTACATTTCCCTATTAAACTTTACATACTGTACATGGCTCTGTATGCTTGTGTACATAAATCATTATAATTCAACAAAACTCCTACAGTAGATGTTTATATTCATGAATGATTCCAGCAGTGTTCTCCTTTAAACCTAAAATCATGTCTTTCTGCTGCACATTTCTTTTTTCTAAACACCATTACTTTTGTTTTATTATTGTCTATCTCTTACTTCCACTCTTCACAATATTCTTCCATATCCTTAACATCGTTCACAATATCTTTTTCACTATTGGCTAGGATAACAGTGTCATCTACATACATTAATACCACAAAGTTCAACATCATATTTAACCATTATTCTTCATTAAAACTTAAATATTTACAATTTCCTTCAAGGAAGAACTCTTCAAGATCATTAACATACATAAGAATACACGGGTGAAAGGTTTATTCCTTGCCTGACTCTCCCACAACTCATAAAATGCTCAGAAATCTCTTGATTATACAATATACAAGATTTGATATTTCTATTCACATTATTCATACTCTTACTATTGACAACACAACAAATATAACCGTACTCACTCTTGACTTGCTCTATTCATTCTATTTTTTTCTTCTATGTCAGTTGATATTAATATTAAAGCGGGGCCTTCCCGGATGGGTCCCACTGGTCGGGAAGGTTGTGGACCCCAGGGCAGACCTGATCATCATCAAACTATTGGGCCTCAAGTGACGCCACTACGGTTGCTGGAGGATCGGCTGTTTTCACACTTCATTTTTCCAACATTCGCGGACTGAGATCCAATTTTCCTTCTGTGGAACACCATCTATTAACCTCTTCCCCCGACCTCTTACTACTTTCCGAACTTCAACTGACCAGAGCAGCTTCACCCAAACCTTTTCAAGTCTCCTTCCGTTCTGAGGGAGGTGTATGCGCCTACTGCAACACACGTACACCTATAGCTCGTCTCACGGATCTTGAATCTTCCCTTTATGATGTCATCTGGCTCAAAATATCTCTAACAACTGTGACTATTTTTCTTTGTTTCCTATACTGTTCTCTCAACTCTACCAACTATTTGGAACTCTTTGACTATCTCACTTCTTGCCATGAGTCGTTGCTCTCCACACACCCCTACACCGAGATCCTCTACCTAGGGGATTTCAATGTACATCACAGAGAGTGGCTTGGCTCTGCAAGGGATGACCCAGGTGGAGCTGAGGCACTCTCTTTTTCCCTACACGCGTTCCTGATCGACTCGATCAACTTTTTAACATTCTTGATCTTTGTTTTACCTCTAAGCCCTCACACTATTCATACTCAATTTCTGCCCCCTTAGGGTCTTCTGATCACAATCTTATTTATATTAAATCAAACTGAGCACGACCACCTCCCCCACCCCCCTCTAAACGTCAACGATGGCACTATCGGAGGGCAAGCTGGCAATCCTTGCGAGAATTCTTCACCGACTTTCCTTGGGATGAATGTTGCTTTTCCACTCGGGATGCCTCGGTATGTGCTGGGGCTATACAGGGTGGTATTCATCCCATCGTCTACCAAAACTTTCACATTATAATCATGGTTTGATCTCTCCTGCTCTCTTGCTTGTAGGGTGAGAGATAGGGCATATAGAGCTATGAAACTATCTCCTCCTATTACCCACACCTCTTTCAATACTTCTAGGAATCGTTGTAAGGCTATTCTTCGTAGGCCCAAGCGGAATTTTATAAAAAGAAAGACTGCTGTCCTGACTAATTCTTCCTCTAGTAAATCCTTAACCAAAAACATCTGTATAACTTCTGCACTCCTTCTTTTCCTCCTCTCTTCCGATCTGATAACTCTATAGCCAACTCTCCCCTTGATAAAGCCAACCTCTTTGGCACTTTATTCCCCTCTAATTCCATCTTAGACGATCCCAGCTCTACCCCTCCTACCCCTGCACCTCCTACTGAACCTATGCACTTTCCTATAATCTCCACTCGCAGGGTTGCTGGTGTGTTATCCAGGTTCGATGTGAGTAAGGCGCATGGACCGGACGGAATACCCCCTCGTGTTCTGAGGGAGTGTGCTGAAGCCCTGGCCTCTGTGCTGGCTCGCCTCTTTCGCCTCTGCCTCAAAACCCCAACTTTTCCTTCTTCTTGGAAGCATGCCTTGGTTCAGCCCATCCCGAAGAAGGGTGACCATTCTAATCCCTCTAACTATCGCCCCATTGCCCTAACTTCATCCCTCTCTAAGATTTTCGAAACTATCTTGAACTCCCATTTTCTCCGTCACCTTGAACGCCTTTCTCTTTTCTCGGATCACCAGTATGGCTTTCGCCAGGCGAGATCTACTGGTGATCTGCTCTCCTACTGCACCCATCTTTGGTCATCCTCTCTTAGGGATTATGGGGAAACTTTCGTCGTGGCCCTCGACATCTCCAAAGTATTTGACAGGATATGGCACAAGTTTTTGCTTTCTAAACTTTCCTCTTATGGTTTCTCTCCCCCACTTTGTTTTCAAATCTCTAGCTTCCTTGAGAACCGATCCATGGCAGTTGTTGTAAAGGGATCGATTTCTCGCTCTTTCTCTACCAGTAGTGGTGTCCCACAGGGTTCTGTTCTTTCACCAACTCTCTTCCCTCTTTTTATCAATGATTTCCTTCACACTACGACTAATTCTATCCATTCTTATGCTGATGATTCTACTCTTCTTCACATTTGCCCTTCCTCCTAACTCTCAAACTAGATCTGTTTCTAGAGCTGATATCATTACATCTATCAATGCGGATCAGTGCAGCATCTCTGAATGGGGAGGTACAAACTTGGTTAAATTCAATAGTAATAAAACTCAGTATTTACCAAGTACACTTTCTAAATTAGATGATCTCCCACCAATTACATTTCAGGAGGTAAACATTCTGCCAAATTCTAAAATAGATATGCTAGGCCTCACCATTTCCTCTAATATGTCATGGAAGCCACACATCCACAACATTGCTAAAGCTGCCTCCCGAAATTGGGAATGCTGTACAGATGCCTTAGCTACTTCACTCCTGAGCAGTTGCTTCACGTATATAAGGGATTCATTCGTCCTAACTTGGAGTACTGCTCTCATATCTAGGGTGGCTCTTCTTCTGTCCAACTGTTAGATAGGGTGGCATCAAAAGCATTTCGTCTTTTTAATTCTCCTCCTTTAGTTGATTATCTTTCTTCCCTTTCTCTTCGCCGCAATGTTGCTTCACTCTCTCTCCTTTACAGGTACTTTAACGGGCAATGTTCGGTGGATTTGGCATCCTGTGTACCGCCACCGGCGGGCCGTGGGCTCATCAACACAAAGTCGCGCCCGCGATCGATTTCTCTGTGGATGTCGGTCACACTAGATAACCCGTTATACGTACATCATACAACATACGAAATGACTGTGGAATGCTCCTGCAGCTACCCTGTGTTTCCACACTCATACAACCTGTCTCTCACTTTAATAAGCTGGTTTTCCTGCATCTTTTGTAGTGTAGATTAATAATACCTTTTCATTTTTCTTTTTTAATTTATTTCTATTCTTATTTTTCGCCCCTAGACTTTAT